CCAATACCGCAGGGGGACGTAACGTCACCGTTTTTTTACCGGCTGATGAGAGCAGAGAGCAGGGGAATATATTTTGCTGTCGACGGACTGATCGACCAACTGCCACAATCTCGGCATTTCCATCCGATCATTCATGGTTTGTAGTATCGTTGAACATTTATTAAGAGAGTTCAAATGTCGCTTCATTTCATTGATATCCTTCATATATGGGCTGGGCCAATATTGGTCCGAGAAAATCAAACTAAGATCAACAAAGCGACTCACACAAGAAAAGCAACACAGTTCGGGGTCGTTTCGGCAGAGTTATGTGGACTAAAGGGGTCAGTCGAGAAAACTATTTGTTTTGAACAATGTATCGCCTTCAATTTTCATTGCGATTAATCCACCGTACAACTGGCTTATTGAGAAGAACGGGCATTTGCTGATAGGTTTCGCGCCTTCATTTCGTTTAACAAGCAACACATCATAAACCACAGACTGGCAACATTGTATGAGTTTTAGCGCTCTCTTTCGGCTTCTGGCCGCAACCCCTCTTGGGTCACATTGCCACAATCGATTCGATATATCGCAGGGTAGTCTTGTGGAGGTAATGCCGTTGGAGGTAATGCAGTATTCCCTGTTCGGACTGCTGCTGCAGAACAATCGATGTATCGAATGTGGCGCGTTAAACTTGATGGATGTCCGTATCGCACCGCCTGAAGTAAGAAACCACGTATCTCCATTGCGGTGTTTCAAAATTTCCGTTCTTATTTCATCTCTTCCAAGAGAAACAATCCAAATTTACGACTATATATTTTGAATCAAATCTTTTGCTATCGAATGCGAAAAATCATAGAGAATTTACGCATCATTTCGACTTAACTACTACAAAAACATGAAGTTTCTCAGGAAGTCTGCAACGTCGCAAATGGAGAAACGTCGTCTCTCATTTTGCCCAAAAGTATGTACGTATAAAATTGAAGTCATCTTCACTTTCCTCTCTCAACTTATATTCGTTTGTAACCATAAACAATGGGACGCGTTTGCTACGGCGCCGTGATACAACTATACAACCTCGACGGATGTCCGTGTTGCGTTCAAAAAATTGAAGGCGTTTTGACTTCCTACTTACCAACTGAAACTGGGCCGATCGACGGACGCGTCGATCGGCGGAGAAAGAGACTTGATGAATCTATTTAATTCAAATTGAGCGGGAGAATATAATTTTGAAATTAAAGTCAGAGATACGGATGTGCGAACCTTCAAAAAGGTTCGAACAGAGATTTTAGAATCGAAAAAAAACCGGTCGTTTCGGTAATTTTGAAATTCCTCATGGTAAAATTAGATCAAAGTTAAAACACTAAAATTTTGAGTAGGTACCTTAGGTATTGGACTTATTCTCTTTACCAGTCGAGTCTTACCAGGACCACTGCACATAGGTATCAAATATCGGTAAGATCCCTTTCTTTATCCGTCGTGAATTCGTGATTTCGAAGGCTGCGGTCTTGCTTCTTTTTTTTTATTGGTAGCTGTTGTATCTCTAAAGGTACAGCTTCATGAGGGCAATAGTTGACCTTAATTCTACGTTTGGGATGAGATGGTGATAAAGTCCGAGTCCCAGTTCCATCAATAAGTTTAGAGGTTTGGGTTTCATTTGTAGCTGATACATTTTTTTGGGCTCCTACAGATCTCTTCTGGCAGTTGCCCCATAAAATTGGAAAACATGCTTACTTTTAAGATCAGGATAAGCCTAGTAAGAGATACTTCAAAAACGTATCATACGTGGAACTTAGCAAAATCCACTTAGTAATACAGGTCAGAGGCGTAGCTAGGAATTCTTTGGGGGGGGGGGGGGTCCATTCACAAACGTGTCAGTAAATTTAAGTTATTTTGTGTACACCCCGGATAATATTTCATGCCTGCCCTCCAAAAGTAAAAAAAACCGATACCTACCTACAGGTTTGCCTTAGTGCGGAAAACCCTAGATACGTGACAGGAGATTTTTATGTACTTACTCGCCTTACCAAACGATGAAACCGAAAAAATAAATATGTATACCCTTCTGCATCCAGATTTTTTTTGATAAAGCAAGAGAACTTAGGAACTGGCAAACTGGCACATGATATAAAAAAACCTGCATGGGCCTTTTTTTATTCAGCGACCAAAAGAACATGCAGAAAATCTATCTGCATGTGAGCAGAGATTTTGAAACACCGCTATGGAGATACGTGGTTCCGTACTTTAGCCATCGATTTGGTTCCACCATATTTAATTCAGTCCATTTCCAATCACTTCAACACCTTAACATCGCAGGGACACGTTGTTGCCTCTCGAAAACTCATATTTAAAAGTGATCGACTCGAACTCCGCGTTTAAGCGCTAGTAGGAGGGACTAAACTCGCGGTGGATTTGGACGCCTTCATTTTCAATGTCAAGCAATTTATCAAACATGGTGAGCATCACCATTTGCATATTCCCCGAATGGAAGGGGCTGCTTAAAGGTAAGAAGGATTTTAGATCCTTACGTGAGAATGGACCACTAGACATGGTAGATACGAATTGAAGCATTCTGATACGTACATGTATTCTACTTAAATTAAAGTTCGAGCAGCACTTGATTCGGGTGACAATGATTGCTTAAATCAACTCGTGCCTCTTTACAAGAAAAACGAAACTCTACGTGAGCCAAATAGCACACAACGATTGTGGTGGGCTTTTTCATCAAGTAAGATTCCTCCATACGAGGAACCCGCGTGGTATAACCCGTTGTTGTTTAAAATGAAAACAACGTGCAACAACTGAGCCGATGCGCTAAATCTTATTCCCATGCCGCAGAGACTGTTACGGAAACGATTAGTCTGCGATTTGACTCACGTAGTCTAGTTCCTTCATGAGCGGGAGGCGTTTGTATTCACGCAGCGAAAAACGTTAAATATCTCAGTAAGGAATGAATTTCATCTATATTTTCGTTGCCCAAG